TCCTCCTCCTCCTCCTCCTCCTCCCTTCCTCCTCCTCCACCTCCTCACCGTCCTCCGTCCTCCCTCTCCCTCCTCGTCCCTCCTCGTCCTCCTCGTCCTCCTCGTCCTCCTCGTCCTCCTCGTCCTCCTCGTCCTCCTCGTCCTCCTCGTCCTCCTCGTCTCCTCGTCCTCGTCCTCCCTCGTCCTCCTCGTCCTCCTCGTCCTCCTCGTCCTCCTCGTCCTCCTCGTCCTCCTCGTCCTCCTCCTCCTCCTCCTCCTCCTCCTCCTCCTTCTCCCCCCCCCTCCGCCGCGAGGGGGCGCCCGCCCCCGCGGGTGGGCGCTGGGCGCTCGCGGAAGGCGCCCGCGGGCGGGCACGGCAGGCACCGAGCGAAACTCCTGAGCATCCTCCCAACACGAGGCGCCCTCGGGGCGTCCTCGAACGGGCACCGGCCGCGCAAGGCACCCGCTAGCAATGTGGACGCCGCGCCAATGGACACTCTAACAGTCCTACCATTGAGCTTAAAATGCGTTTATCATGTCGGAGCCATGTTTAAAACATGCGTTGCATTTGAATGTGTCTTTTGGGGGGCAAACTCCGTTTCTCTGTTCAGGCCCTTAACTCTGATGAAGGTATGATTCACGTCCGCGCTGGAACTCTGATTCAAGTCAGGCCCTCAGCGCCAAATCCGATTTAGGTTTTTAGGTCTGACTGGAACTCTGATTGAACTCTGGCCCTAAGGCCCAAGTCTGATTTAGGTCTGGCTGGGAGCTCTGAAGTAAATATGATTATGGCTTGGCTTGGGCCCGTCGAAGCCAATGTCACGGCGTCGGCCCACAACGCTGCCGGGCCGGCCCCGTGCGCATGCGTCTTCAAGAACAACAGAAGGAGTGCGCGAGCCAAGCGGCAGGTCGTGGCCGGGGGCCCAGCCGCCAGCCGCCAAATGCTGCGGGCTGGGGCGGGGCGGCGCCCCCCGCCTGCGCGGCCCTGCCCAAAACTGCTCAACGACACAGGGCTGCCGGCTGCCGCGCCGCGACAGGATGCGCATCGCGGTGACCGCCCCGAGTTCCGCCGCCCGGCCAGGACAGGTCGGGGGCAGGACGCGCAAAAGGAGAAGCGCCGCACTTCTCGCGAGGCTCGGGGGCGCGGGAGGCGCTCTGGGAGGCGCCCGGAACGAAGGCGGGGACAAGGGGCAAGGGTTGGGAACGAGCGCGAAAACGAGGGCGGAGGCGAGGGCAGGAACTGGGGCGGGAACGGGGGCGGGGGCGATGGGCGATAACGCGGGCGAGAACGAAGGCGAGAATGAGGGCGGGAACGAAGGCGGGAATGAGGGCGAGAACGAAGGCGGGAACGAAGGCGGGAACGAGGGCGAGAACGAGGGCGAGAACGAGGACGAGAACGAGGGCGAGAACGAGGGCGGGAGCGAGGGCGAGAACGAGGGCGAACACGAGGGCGGGAACGATGGCGAGAATGAGGGCGGGAACGAGGGCGGGAACGTGGGCGAGAAAGAGGGCGGGAGCGAAGGCGGGAACGAGGGCGGGCACGAGGGCGAGAACGAGGGCGATAATGAGGGCGAGAACGAGGGCGGGAGCGAGGGCGAGAACGAGGGCGAAAACGAGGGGGAACGAGGGCGGGAACAAGGGCGGGAGCGCGGGCGGAAACAAGGGCGAGAACGAGGGCGGGAGCGACGGCGGGAACGACGGCGGGAGCGACAGCGGGAGCGAAGGCGAAAATGAGGGAAAGAACGAAGGCGAAAACGAGGGCGGGAGCGAGGGCGGGAACGAGGGCGAGAATGAGGGCGAGAACGAGGGCGGGAGCGAGGGCGAGAACGAGGGCGAAAACGAGGGCGGGAACGACGGCGGGAGAAAGGGCGGGAGCGAGGGCGGAAACAAGGGCGAGAACGAGGGCGGGAGCGACGGCGGGAACGACGGCGGGAGCGAAGGCGAAAACGAGGGAAAGAACGAGGGCGAATACGAGGGCGGGAGCGAGGGCGGGAACGAGGGCGAGAAAGAGGGCGGGAACGAAGGCAGAACGAAGGCGGGAACGAGGGCGAGAACGTGGGCGGGAACGAGGGCGAGAACGAGGGCGGGAGCGAGGGCGGGAACGAGGGGGGGAGCGAGGGCGGGAATGAAGGCGGGGGGCCGCCTCTGGGCGCCTCCGGGATTCCTCCGGGGGCCTCGGGAATTCCCTGGGCGCCTCCGGGGAACCTCCGGGGAACCTCCGGGAGGTCTGCTGGAAGTCTCTTTGAGGTCTGTTTGATGTCTGTTTAAGGTCTGTTTGAGGTCTGTTTGAAGTCCGTTTTGGGCCAAACTCTGATTAAGGTCTGTTTGAGGTCTGTTTAAGGTCCGTTTGAAGTCTGTTTGAAGTCTGGCCGAAACTTTGTTTCAAATCTCATTTCCCCGGGCGGCCTCCGGGCGGCCCCGGAACGAGGGCGAGAAAAAAGGCGAGAATGACGGCGGGAACGGGGGCGGGAACGATGGCGACAACGAGGGCGGGAACGAAGGCGGGAATGCAGGCGGGAACGACTGCGATAACGAGGGAGAGAACGAGGGCGGGAACGAGGGCGGGAACGAGGGCGGAAGCGAGGGCGAAAACAAGGGCGATAATGAGGGCGGGGACGAGGGCGGGGACGAGGGCGGGAACGAGGGCGAGAACGAGGGCGAGAACGAGGGCGAGAACGAGAAAACTAAGGCGGGAACGGTGGTTGGAACGAGGGCGGGAACGGGGACGAAAACGAGGGCGGGAACGACGGTGAGAGCAAGGACGGGATCGAAGGCGAAGGCGAGAAAGAGGGCTGAAGTGAAAATAGCCTCGGGCGGGGGCGAAGGTGGGCGCCGAGGAACGAAGACTGACGCTCTATACGGGGGGGGGGACGAGGAGGAGGAACAAAAGGACAAAGGGAGGAATGGGGGCCGAGGGCAAGGGAGGGACAGCACGTGGAGGGCGACGGCGACCGAGGAAGGAGGAAGCGGGATGAGTGAAACCAGGGGGAGGAAGAGGAGGGGGAGGAGAGAAGGTGGAGGACAAGGGCGGGGATGCGGGGAGGAGGGAGGAGACAAACTGAGGAGGGGGGGGCAAGAGGGACGCGAACGGGGGAGGAGCGGAAGGGAGGGAGAGGGAGCGGAGGAAGGGGGGAGGGGATAGACGAGGTAGGTAAGAGAGCGAGGGGAGGAGGGAGGAGGGGCAAGGGGAGAGGACAACCGCCCTTGCGCAGCGCGCCCCGCGCCCTCCGCCCAGGACTGTCAGAACTCCGACGGTTCTGATTCAGGTCTGTTTTGGCTCTGGCCTGAAACTCTTTTCTGGTGTGGCTGAAACTCTGATTTGGCTCTGGCCTGAAACTCTGATTCATCTCTCTGGTTTAGCTGAAACTCTGATTTCGCCCTGATCTGGAACTCTGAGTGAACTCTGCTGTAGCTCTGGCTGGGGACAGAGCCGAATCAGAGTGAGATCGGAGTTCAGACCAGAATTAAATCAAAGTTTCCAAACAGTCAGACATGAAACAAAGTTCCGGGCCAGAGTTGAATCATAGCTGGATCAGAATATTATATAATATTTGTTGAGCTTAGCTTTTCAAGCTAGTTTGCCTTCAAAAGACACACTCAATCTTATATGATAAAAAAACATGTTTAACATATCGTTTAGACATCTGGAAATGATTTGGCAACATGCTTCCTCTCCAATGACCGTCCTCCACAACACTAGCAAGATAACCGCCACAAGCAGTCCACACTTCAGCCATGATTTGTTCGAAGCGAAGCCAGGCAAGCGCGCGGGCGCGGGCAATGCAGGGAGGGCGGATTCGCAACGCCCGCGTCGGCCTCGGACTGCCGCCCCAGTGCAAGCGCCAGAATTGGCCGCGGCACGGCGGCGTCTCGCTTCTTTCAAGCCACCATGCCAAATTGGGATGTCCGAAATCTCACGATCCGCACGCAGGAGTTATTCACGTGGCCGCACCTGTCGCCACCCAACCAGAAACCCTGGCCCGGGCCGGGAAAGGCGCGCGCCAATTTTTGCCCCGAAAGCTGCCCCACATGTTTTTATATACAATTTGAATCGTGATTTCTTAAGGGGCAGATTTGGGGGGAAAGTTCGGGGGTCCGACGCGCGGGAGATTTAGGGGGCATTATTTGGGCGCAGGTGCGGGCGCCCAGAACCATCCCCATAAACGTCTCGCATGCGAGCCAGCCGCGGCCCTGCCGCGCGGTTGACGCGGCGCCGCGCGAAATAATCAAGACCCGGCAGGCCGCGCCAGGGTCGCAACAGCTCAGGACTGCGCCCCGGCTCGGGCAAGTCTGCCAACCCACTCTTGCACTGGCACAACCGCAACCACATAATGAATTGCTCAACGTGACGAGCCGTTCTCGGATCATGGTCTTCGCTCGATCGCATGACCAGACGCGGGTGCCGGGGTGAATCGCGGCGCCCCCGTCGGTGGCGCGCCCCGACGAAGGGCGGAATCTATAATGCGATGCAGTAACATGCTCGGCAGCGCGTGATCATTTTCGGCGACGCCATCGGCCCCAGTGCGTCGCGGACACCGTCGACTACTGTTTCGCACTTTTTTGGGGGAAAAACTTGTGCGACTCGAAAATTGAAAGGCCCCCGACCTTATCAAATGTGTGCGCGTGCGTGTGCCGCTCTTCCAACTGCACGCTGCACGCCTCTTCTCCGCTCTCCGCCTCGCGCGTGCTCGCGCGGCGCAGCCGATGTCTTCCTCTGCGCGACGACCTGCCTGGCGCAGCCCCCCATCTGCAACGCCGAGTGGGGACTTAGCGCTGAACGTGCCCCGTCGTAACTTTCCACGTTGACGCCGCTCCGTCGCCAGAGGAAGCGCGCGTGCGTGCGTGGGCTGTTCTGCCGGGGGGCGGCCTCGCGAAGGGCCTGCGGGGCATTTGCGCCGTCCTCGCGGAGACGGGCAAGCCGCGCCAGCCTGGCCAAGACGCCCCGATCGCCGGCCTCGGCTCCGAGGCCCTCGAGCGCGCGACCGCCATGCGCCGGCCGCGCGGAAGCGTGGAGACCCAGCAGAGGCGCGCCCACGTCGCCGCGCCCCGCGTCGGACACGGCACCCTCCCATCGGCCTCGCGAACTTTCTCGGGCAGGCGCGCTGCGCGCCGAACTTTCCAGCCGCGCGCGCCCCGGGGTCTGGGGCGCCGCCCAGGGAGCTCCCCGACGCCCGCGGGCCCGAGATCGCGCCCTGGGCCAAGCAGCTAGCAATCGTGCGGACCGACGCCGCGGTCTCTAAGAATTGGGCCGCATTCCCCGCCACGCGCTCGGGCTCGACACTCGCCTTCTGCCCCTCCGCATTGCCCGCTTATTGCCAAGCCCGCGTGCGATGGCCAGGCCCACGGAGACTGGCACTGGACTAGTTTCGGCAACCGACGACAGGCCGCGGGCGCGCGGGCGCGCGCGCGCGGTTGCGTTTGTGTCTCAGGGGCTTCGTCGCGCGAGTGTGGGATGGGGGGGGGGCGTCGGCGATTGGCATCTGGGGCGCTGGCCAACGAAGACCCCCATATGACAATATGAAGACGTACCTCCAGTGCGCAGCACTATTTGTGGATGCGTCTTGAATTTTGCATCGGCAACCTCGCGCGCGCCATCGCCGCATTCGAGCGGGCGTTCGTCGGCCGCGCCGTCGCGCCCAGCAACTTGCTTCGAATTGCGCCTAAAGCCATTGGCTTTAGGCGCAATTGTCAAATCCCATGATCTTGTCAAATGCGTTGGCGCGCGCCATGGAACGGGCCCCGGCTTTCATTCGCTAGCCCCGCGAATGTCCGCGAACCGCTCTGCGGCCCATCGCAATGCATCGATCAACGGTCTACAAACCCAGCGGTGCGAGTCCGGATTGTCTGGCGCCGCGCGTTCGTTTCCTTGGTTTGCAACATTATGCAGCCCTTCGGGGTCATGTCTCCCTCTGGGCCTTCCCTTCCCCCCCCCCTCCCTCCTGCCTTCCACTGGGGGCAATCCCATAGCCAATCTAACAGCGGTCTGCTATTGTGCAACGCGCGGGCCACAACATGATCGGCATCGAGGGCAGCCGGCCCCGCCGACGTGAACGTGATCGCCCGGCCCATGCCCGGCAAGCGCATCCAGGTGCAGGTGCAGCTCCGAATGGCGTCTGAAGATTATCTCAAATTCGGCGCCGTCGGCTACGACGCCGTTGAATTGGGCATTGCAGTGGGCAGTGCCAGCCTGAAGTATCCCACAGTAGATATTTGACGGCATTCTGGCTGCATTGCCATCGCGCGCGACTTTCGCAGACGTTGGCGCCGGCGCCGCGCATCGTTTCGCAAGTGCTGCGACAGCGCTTGCAATGTTCGCCGGGGGGTGCGTGCAATAAGGGGGTCGTGCATCGGAGAGCCCTTGTGGCCGGTCTCCTGGGAGGAAGAGGGTTCGGACGTAACCGCGCGCAGCGCTGGGCTGACCCGCGACTGAAAGCACGCGCGCAAATTCATTTTGGCAGTGAACGGGCAGCCGTCAACTACTCCTCTCATGGCGCGCGGCGTCGCGCCGTCACGCTGAACGCGCGTGAGAGGCTGACGCATCTGGGGCCACAAGCTGGCCGAACAACAGAGGGGAAACCGTGCAACCCGCAACTTTCGAGCGCCCGCTCGACGCAGAGTGACTCGTAGTGCTTGCGATAATCCCGCAGCAGCGTAGCGGCGCACTTTCCAGCGGCAACCGTTCATTCGGAGAGGAGGGCCTGACGCCCGACTGCGTCCGACGCGCCCATGCACTTCGCCGCCGCAAGCCAGGGCCTCTGATGGGCCCGCTCCCAGGCGACCGCCAGCGGTCGTCGCAGCCGCCCCAACAGGCGGAACGGGCCGCAGTATACTCCGATGGGTCGAAAACCTCCCAAGGTTCATGGGTCAGCATAGCGGCGACGTGCTGGCTTCGGGGGGGGGGAACCCCCAACTTTGCGCACTGTAAACACGGGGCCGCCGCGGCGCGCCACAGCGCCGGCAACTCGGCAGTCTCCAAAGCGAGCACAGAGCAGGATCAGGGAATGGATGGACTCGGCTTGCGTTCGGGATTCGGTTTTCCGCTACGCGTGGGGCCAGCGGGACCAGGTGGACAGCGACGACGACGACGACGACGACGACGACGACGAGGACGACGACGACGAGGGGGGCCCCTGGGGTCGCTGTCGACCGCGCGGTCATTCGCTGGCACCGCGGTGGGCCGAAGCGCTGAGGAGCCCAGAGGAACCCTGCCAGCCCGTCTCTCGAAGCCTTCCTCGACCCAACAAACATCAGAAGGGGCGGCCATATGGCCCTGAGCCTTCTAGGCAACTCAACATGATCTGCATGCGCCACGCTGTCATGACCTACCACCGCGAAGACGACAGCCTCGGAGAAGCGACTGAAGGGTTCCTTAGCCTCAAAAACTCAGCACTTGCAATGCAGGGCCGAACTGCTAGCCAGGTTGAGTGAGGCCTTGACAGGATGGGCCCGCTCGTCCTGCCCCGCCCGCACCTGGGGAGGGGCCGAAAAAAGGGCGACGCGAGCTGGCAGCTTCGACCTCAG